CTGTACATTTGTCTGATTGCTCAGTTTGTCCCCCTTATGTTCTTTAAGCTTAAATGAAAGCACATATTTGTTGTCATAGCAGCACAGTGTCATTATCACACCAGGAACCTCTGTCAAACAGCTGGACATTTGTACCCAGCGAGAAAAACATAATGCAACTGACTTTTAATAGAAATTCTCAGCATGCTGAAACAAGGCTGTATTATAAGAGATCTCACTGGCTGTGAGCATTCAGTATGGAGATATCATGCTTCATAATGGCTTAGAAAACATGCTTTAACTACAAGAATGCATTTGTAATGACAGTCACACAAATGGCCGCATGTGTGTGCATATGTGCTGTATAGTATGCCTTTTGCATGCAGTTTTAATTGTCTAAAGGGGTATAGATCCTGATGTAATAGCAGCACAGTGTCATTCATATGCTGTAATCCTTCAAGGAGATTAAGACATTCATCATTAGGCTGTGTCAGAATAAGAAATGTTGGTGATCGCTCAGGTGGAGGTAAAAGGGTTTGGAAGGAAAACTTAAGATGCAATTTGTGCAGGAAATGTTCTGATGGTGACAGTGAGGAATGTTTCACTTTGTCTAATGTCTGTTTGAGACAAACTTGAATTTAAGTCATTCTGAAGGCCTGAAAGAGGAAACCCTGATCTGATTTAGCAAACTCTCCAGCAGCATTGAAATGAATTAGTGTCATCAAGCAAACCATCAAACATGTCTATTTTTCATGATTGAAAAGTCTGTATGCAAACTTTAGAGCCTCTCAGGTTTCAAACTCCAGGGTAGCTTCTCTGTTTGTTCCCCAGAGCAAACACTGGCAAAAGAAATAAATAGACTTTTACAGGATCTAGCAAAACTTTTGTGAAATCTTCAAAGCTTTTGCAAGGTTTTGAATGGAAAAACAAAAGTGCTGTGAGATTTCACAAAAGGACTTTCAGGTTGTTCTGCAGCACTACAAGCAGCTGATAGGCAGTAATGGAATCTGTAGCTACCATAACTACATTTTTCATCAGATAAAGTGTAGTTGGCAAACTTACACAAGGCTTTGTGTTGCAACATTGTTTCAGAATAATAAAGAAGCACAAGGAAGGATCAAATCTACTGGCATCTTGTTGGCATAATGACGTTACAGAGTTACATGGCAGCACAAGAAAGTTCCATTTATTTTTGTTGTTTGCTTATGGCTCCTTGTTATTTCTGGTACCTGTAGCTTCATTTGATGTGGCAGCGTTATCCTGTGGGTGCACTTATCCCTTCCCTAAGGCCATGTGGCCTAACGTTTAGCCTCACTCCTTTTATAGAAGAGACATAACATTTAGAATGGGTGGCAGGGCATGAAATGCTGCTGTGGCTTTGGCTTGACAGTGAATGCCTATTAGTCATTGTGACAAAGCTCCCTGTCCAAATCTCAGAAAATGAAGCTCGTTGAAAACCAAGGTTCAATTTTCCAGGCTGTTATAACTGTCTTTTATAATAATGTCCCTGCTTCTCCCACGAGTGCTTCTGAGTGACAGCAAGCCATTATTTAAACTACCCCCATAGACTTTTCCAGGACCTAACTGAAGCTGGCAGGGAACATTTTGTAAACAAGTGATTGAAATCTGCAACTCTGACCTGTGTCTTCCTACATGTTCTACAACTCTGTGGGACTTCAGACAGAGCTGTGCACAGGATGTTTGGCCACCACAGGGAATCTGTTGTCTGCACCTCCAGTCTGTTCCCACACATGCCACTGTGGCTGGTATACAGGAGAATGCCCCAAGGTACACAAGTAGCACAGCAAGAAACCATATGTATGGTAGGAGATGGCTGAGGTATGCTGCTGCGATAAACATCCCTTAGGGGTCAGCGTGAAATGGTGTGACATACTGCTCTGCATCCAAGTTACTGTTTTTACACCAGCAACTGCTCAGAATTGGAGGCAGATGTGTCGGTTCATAACTGAACAAGATTAAGAGGTGATGACAGTATAGTGCTGGCATGTAGGAGTTGTAATGAAACCTGAGCCTGGGACAAGGACTGCACAAATAACTGAAGAGCATGTTGTATTCAAAGTTTTATCTTTATAGTGTATACAGTGGGGCAAACAAGTATTTGGTACACCGCCGATTTTTCAAGTTTTCCCACTTACAAAGAATGGACAGTTCTGTAATTTTCATCGTAGGTACACCTCAACTGTGAGAGACAGAATTTACAAAAAAA